CTGGTTTCCTTATTTCTCTGGCTACCTTACCAAACAGTAGAAACACACAAATGTCAGAATGAGAAAGAAAGAAAAGCTTGTGCAAAACGTAGAGTCCAGGAACATCCACATTATTCCTGAGTGCAAACACATTATCTATTCCCAATCAGGGCCATCGAGAATACCAAAAAAAAGGAGTGCATTATATTGCCTCAATAATGAAAATAATAATAATAAATTTCTTAGTACTTATACAGTATTTTGTATTCAAAACACTTTACAGACATTAATTTCAAACAACTCCAAGACATAGATATTAACAAAGCAGAGGGAATGACCCAAAATGAGCATAGAAGATAGACAAGGGCCAAATACCAGAAACCAAGATTAGTGAGATAAGGCTTGCGTGGCATCACACAAGAAAACATTGCATTTCTTAGTATGCTCCTAAACATATTTTGGAATTTCCCTTTGCAAGAAAGCTCTGAGGGCTTTTTCTTTTCTGAGTAGGCATTTGATGTGAATATACAAGAGAGTGTTTTTTCAGTATTCAGACAGGAAATCACACGAGAACAATAAAAGGAACTAATTCATTACCGAGTGAAGTGGATACAACTGTTTAGATCAGCTTGGTCAGAAGAAGTTTCTGAACCCTATTCTTGATTTTTTCTATTGACTCACTGTGTGGCCGTTAACAAATCTTTTGGCCTCTCTTATCAAAGATAGAGGGGAAATAAAGAGGGGAAAATAGGTGTATGACTCTTTTAGCTGTCTTTTGACATGCAGGGGTGGCTCTATGTATTTTGCCGCCCCAAGCACGGCAGTGAGGCAGCCTTTGGCGGCATGCCTGCGGGAGGTCCGCCAGTCCCGCGCCTTCGGCGTACCCGCCGTTGAATTGCTGTCAAAGCCGCGGGACCGGCGGACATCCCGCAGGCATGCCACTGAAGGCAGACTGACTGCCATCCTCACAGCGACCGGCAGGCGGCCCTTCGCGGCTTGCCGCCCCAGGCATGCGCTTGGTGCGCTGGTGCCTGGAGCCTCCCCTGATGACGTGTAAAGGTCAGCTATAAGGCTTTCCTAATTATTATTTATTTTTCCAGCCTTGTTTTTACATTATAAATTCAGATGTTATCTAAGATGGAATGAAAACTCTAGTCAATGATGACTAAAGAACTAGTGAAATTTTCGTAGTGGTGACATCACAAGATCCAAGTCAGGGAAAGCTGAGCAATTGAAAGGTACAAGAATTTAAAACTCTCTTTGTTTTTGTTAATGCCTATTTAACCTTAATGCAGCATTGCAAACTCTCACAATTTTATCACAAGTCTTGAAATATTTGGTGTTTCTCTTAAAACCCCTGCATGTGGAGTCAATAATTACATGAAAATCTCAGCTTTCATTTTTTAAAAATGGTGGTTGTGGAGAAAAGCTTGAAAATGTGTATAACCTAGAGTTTCAAAAATCAGAAGGCAAAGAAATAGAACCCAGAATTTATTATTTCTAAACCAGTCTCATAATTTCTTCAGGCCTGACTCATGACTTTGGAATACTTGGGGTTAGCAATGGGAATGACTAATTAACATAAGCATTTGTTAAAGAACTATCATCCTCGCTCCTTTTCTGTTTAGGAGTTCATAATAAACATTTCTGAGACGTGTCCGAAAAATCCGACACTCCGGCTATTTCGAAGGTTAAAAAAAAACAAGGAAAAATCTTTACAAAACTGAAAACCATCATAAACAGGGGGAAACACAAACCCACCCATTTAACAAACATTTGCAGGTCACCTCTGGGTTTCCATATTAGAGCTGATCACATTTGCTTTTTTAACAAAAAGTATCTTAGTTGAAAAATAAAATAAAATAATTTTAAACATTGTTTTAAGTTTGTTATAAATATTTTGATATGTTTCATTTTTCCTTTCCTTTTTCTACTTTTTTTTTTCAAAGTCATTTTCCAAGAAAAAAAATTCTTCAAAAATTACTGGAAAAAAAGAAAAAAGGAAGATAGGAAAAAGAGAAGGAATGAAAAAAGAGAACATAAAAATACATATATTTTTAAAAATTGACAAAAACATTTTAAAATACCTCCATATTGATCCATGTAAAACCCATGAAACAGAAGCAACTTCAATATGTTTATTCCATTTTTTCAAATGGAAAGTATTGTGAACTTTCACAATTTGATTGCATGTCTTGTGACATTTGGTGCATTTCTTAAGGACCCATCTCCTGGAATCAAGGTTTTAATGTTTTTTTTAAGTTTCTAGCTCTCATGGTTACAGAGAACAGCTAGAAAAAGTGACCCGTAACTCAGAGGCAAATAATTATTATTTCAGTATTGCCAATCTCAAGAGATCAAAAATCATGAATCAGACTCCCCAAAATTATGAGATTGGCCCAAAAATCATAAAGCTTTTTGTTTTTGTTTTTTAAAAAGGGTTATATTGTGTTTTTTACTCTCTCTTGATTTTTGAACTCCACCTACCCATCCTTAGTGTATATGATAATTCGTGAGGGGACGCTCAGTAAATGGCATGCCTGCTATAGGGAAATAAACAAACATGCTGACTTAAGGGAAATTTGACCAATTTTGGAGATAAAAAAAATTCGACCCCGAGGGCCCTCCACATCCTTGGAGGATGTAGGAAGGCCCTCAGGGATGTACACACACTGGTCAGTTAAGGGAAGGGATGGCCTCATGCAAGGATGTGGTGGGGTCATCTGGCATAGGCGCCAGCTCTAATGGTTTTCTGCCAATGGAGAATTCCCTCCACCCCTCAGGAGCCCACATTGTTCTCACGGGAGCAGAAGGGGCACAAATGGTTGCAGCAGCTCAAGGCAGCTCTGCTGCTCCTAACCTCAGCAACAGACTTGGTGAAAAGCTGCTAGAGCTGTGGGAGGGACAGAAGTGATGGGCAGTGCAATGGTGGCTAGGGTTGCCAGGTGTCCGATTTTCGATCGGAACACCCGGTCAAAAAGGGACCCTGGCAGCGCCGTTCAGCACCACTGACCGAGCCATTAAAAGTTCAGTCAGCGGCGCAGAGGTGCTAAGGCAGGCTCCCTACCTGCTGTGGCTCAAGACGGCTCCCAGAAGCAGCAGCATGTCCCACCTCCGGCTCCTACACGTAGGGCAACCAGGGGGCTCCGCACGCTGCCCCTACCCAAGCACTGGCTACGCAGCTCCCATTGGCCAGGAACTGTGGCGAATGGGAACTGCAGGGGCAAAAAATCCAGTTTTTTTAAACAATTTACTTTTTATAATCATTGCAAAATCTGCACCATTTAAGGCAAAATTGTGGTGCAATTTGTTTTGACATTCCATTTGATATACACATGACAGCAGTTGAAAGCAACTTGAAAGTGCCGTCCAGATCGATCTCCACCGCGGGCACTGACTCTAGCTGCCCGGCCATAGCCACCCCTCAGGACTGAGAGCGGTCCGACCACTGCTGCTCCGCACATGCGCCAAGTGCACTAAGCAGAGGGCGGGCTGAAGGGACCGTTACCAGCCTGCATGAGGGAGAGGGTGGGACTACGGCTGTCGTTAGGGCTGAGGGACAGCAGCGGCCGGAGTAGTAGTGACCTTATGACGTGCACTATTAGGAGGCGGGGCCATGCCAATAAGCGGTGAGGCTGATGGCTGATGGTGAATTGTGCTGGTAGGGGAGTGCTTATAGTGGCCTTTACTGGCTTGCGCCAGTAGGGAGCGGTGCTAAGGCAGTGGTTACTGGCTCGTGCCACTAGGGGTGGGGTTATGAAGGTGGTTACTGGCTCAAACTGTTAGGGGGCTGCGCCGGGTGAGGAGCGACTTGCTCTGGTGTCCAGCCCTGATACATTTCAGTCAGAAATGTGAACTTCTGAGCAGCCTCTGACTTGGTGAGACGGTGGAACCGGCAGCCACTGTTCTAGGATTTGCTAGGCCCAGCTGCGTAAGTAACAACGGGTCTTTTCCTTCACTTACAAGCTTCCCCAAGGAAACCGGAAAAAATTACTACATAGCTGAAAAGAGAGGACTGGAAGTAATCACCAAGTGAAACCTGAGTTCTGGTTAATGGATTGAACTGGCTTCATTTTGCAGATCATATATTTGAAAAAGTAAACCCTGAAATGGAAAAGTTGGGCTTTGAATGCAAGTGCCTTGGGGGAGGAAAAATTGACCATAATAGCAAAGACAAGAAAATGAGGGTATTTGGTCTCTCCACAGTAAGTGCCATGTATTAGTTTCCTTGAAAATCAAACATTTTAGGGCTCTATTTAAAAATACTAG